TGTTTCGTGTAAGAAGTGGAAATGAGAGAAGGACAAATATGACACTAAGGGATTTAATAACAGGAAAGGTAGTGAATAAAAATCACAATTTGTAAAATCAACCTTGATAATAGGATAACGTTACATTACAGAATAGGTTAAGCGTAAGTAAAAACTGTTTTTGGATGCGCGGGGGCTTGAGTTTGCATATAGCTAGCACTTCGACAAATCTAAGTATACGCCCCTGACAGTTTCTGTAAGATATTATGAAGGATGTTTTAATATCGATCCTGCGACCTTGCTGATGGCAAGCATTAGCCTTGGTTTCAAAATTACTTTATACGATTCCCCTCTGTATGATAGGTTGATATCAACGCATTTCTTTGGAGTGGAATACAGATTGGGTTTCGACACTCACTGATGTCTGCAACGGTTTGTGAACTTCAGTGACTATCCATTTCGCATTAATGTTGCAGTCAGTATTTTGTTATCGTCGTCTAATGAGTCTTGCGTACAAATACACTGGAGCCTGTCAGATAAACACCTTATCGAAGCCTCACTTATACTGATTCGAACAAAAGCTACAGACAATTGTATATTGCCCTGTCCAAGTAGGTTTCCTGTAAATCAACCGTTTTATTAATCTGTATTTCCCACGACCCAAGAGTATATCGAAGAACGTCAACGGCTATCTTTCTCTTCCTCACACGTTAAGGATATATTGTCTTGTCTAGTATAAATGTCACATCTTCATGCTTGTCACATCGTGATTACATCATCAACATATCTCTTATGAAGAGTAGCTCTCTCTACTAATGAGGTCGTTAGCCAAAAATTTAATATATGACGTGTAAATATCACTCCTCGGAATGGTCTTGGTGGACTTCCCATCGCAACACTATCTGTTAGTCGAAAATGTTCCCCTTCAAGTGTGAAGTCGGCCTCATCGGTACAGTGCACAATAATACCAGATCTTCCAAATAAGTCGCATTGGTAGAGAAAGAAAAATTACTAGGATATGAATGGTCGGGAAGAATGTCAATGGTCTTGGTTTAGTTGGGGACATGTTGATAAGTGAGGAGTTGATATCAAAGAATTGCAAATTCTTGTCTATGATATTAATATCAATCACTAAGACAACAATTTTGAATATATCAGTGGATGAAGGCTAACTATTTCAGCATGTCATTAGCTAAATCACTTGACATAACATACTGAATGTCAATTATCATTACTCATAGAGCTCAATCGGAATTATCCATGAGACGGACATTATAGCTTTTGACGGTAACCTTAAGAGAACCACAACTTCACTTGAGGTGTCAGCCACTGATTGATTGAATAGTAAAGTACATCGACTTGTCTGAAATGACTAGTTCACTGCATCATATTTTCAAGTCATATGCTAGCAAGGTGATTACTGAAATTTGTGACTGATTAGTGTGTATGCAGGAATTATAGATTCTGGGCTGAAAATCAGAAGTGGCTGTTTGTGATTTAGTGCCAAGGCGAAATGGCGAATATGAAGCATGTTATGGAACACGACATTGAGGAAACTAAAGCTGGCACTTTTCTCTTGACTTACTACTCTCTCTCTCTCTCTCTCTGGTGTCAGTGTCACTGAGTTTCATCAAGGAAGTCACTGTGCCAACTGGGCAAGCTGAAGCATGTGCTGTGATCACCAGAAGCAAATTTGGTTTGTGATGTGTCAGTAGTGATTTTGAATTCAACACCTGTTTTACTGACAAAACGCTGCCTCATGTTCCAGTGGTGGAAACAAGAATGCTTTGTTTTCTAAAAGACTGAAGGAGAAAATGATTTGTGTGACCACAGAGTTCGTGAAACATCTGTTTGACGCCTGTCACATACAGGCTTTTGAGGGTTGTTGTTTTGAGATTTGGTTGTTCTAACACCTGGGAGAGAAACCCATACCACCGACACTGGAAGACCGTGGGGCAGGGAGAGGTGTACTATTTTTAGGTCAATGTTTTATAAGCCCCACCTTCTGTAGGAAGGCAGCATCAGCGTGGCATCGGTGGTCATCCAAGGAGAACACCTTACTGCTATCATACCTCAACCAGCTAGCTGCAGTATGACTTTTCCTTCAGACGCCGATCAGAGTGCAGCAATTAGCAGTTTTGCTCTTCGTTTTATCACTAGTAAACAGACCTTTCTCGCACGGTGGAACCTCGAATAAGCCTACACCGATGTTGCTTGTCGGATCATTGTGATATGCAAACTCGACCATCACGTCAAGGTAGCAGTTGTCGAAGGGGTAGAAAATTGCTGGACCAGTCTTTTAGAACTTAACGCCAGTCAAATGCATCAAAACATTTCACGATGTGTTCTGTTGGTTAATATAATAGTTCTTGATTTCCTGGTGCTGCTCAATCTTGAAGACAACATCAAGAAGGTGTGATTTCGGAAAGGATCAGTTACCATTTCGAATGGTGAGTAAATCATGTGGAGTAGGTATGGTGTTGTAATGGTGGTGTTTCAGGGAAGAAACAAGGTCAGCAGTAACACTTGAGCAATCATTAACCTTCTTGATTACTGCAGTCGGAGCTGTGAAAACTGAGTGGTTGCTGGGTGTCAACAACTTAATTGCTTCAAACGCAGTAATTCCTGACCGACATTGGAAGCCTAGACATATGCAATCGTCCACTTTGGACGAAAGAGTGAGTTGGCATATGACAGAAGAAGAACAACTGCTTGCATTGTGATGCAATGGCCAAAACCAAGTTGGAAAGCGACTACAAATTGTCTGGAGTATCTTTCATTCAATCGAATTATGAGGAAGTTTAGGGTAGGCATGACATGAACTCATGGCAATTTGAGGAAAGACTGCTGTAGATCAGCCAGGATCTCTTCACAGCCTATCGTAAATGATATTGGTATGGAACGTAGTATCTAACTGTAGACATGCTTGAAACCACTTATTTCGTGAGTAATATATTTGCGTTCAGTATGTTAGTTTAATTAGAACTGATGTGAAAGGAAGCTAGGTGCGACTAGATTAGTACATGTCGTCAATGCATGATGACTCAGTGCTGGCTTAGGTCTCCTATAGAAATCTAGGCTTCTTACCTACAATGACTAAAAAATTTGTGATATTGCTCAAGACGGATTTCACTGGCAAAAGGGTTTTCACGGTTTATCATTAGGATTTGTAGATTTTTACTAACCTTTATATATGCGTTTTATTACACCTCGCTCAGTTTTTGTTGAAACTCATCTACTGGTGTGTTACAGCTCCTTTAGATCTCTTGATTTCAATTCCAAGTACGTAGTCAAATAATAAATAAAATAATTTTGTGAGTGTAGGTCAGATAGGTTAGATAGCTAATGGCTCACACTGAGTAGTTATGACCAATCATTACAGATTCCTATTTGTATTATCACTGGCCACTAAGAAATGCTGGGCAATTAAAGAAGGTATGTACATTGCTAAGCTATACCACATAGAGTCTACAACAACTGGTTTCTATTGTCCTACCGACCCCAAACGGATAGTCTGCATAACCACAACATGGCTAAAACCAACAATCAGTGAATTCATACATTGATGTCATGTTTTACTCTCCTCACTCTGAGCCCTTTCCCACCTCAAACCTACTTCAGTCAACACTGTGTGACGAAGTAGACGGTGGCTAGACATACGTAACATATGTCCCAACCATCTCAGTTGATGAAGGTTCACAATTTCATTAACTGCCTTACTTCTCCGGCCTAAAACTCGATATCCCACTTCTGTGTTACTCGCGTGGTGACACTAGGAAACATCGCTTAGGCTACGAAGGCAGCGGTGGTATAAGGTTGATGGTGGAAGTCATGCATACTTCTCACGAATTATGACAAGTCATTAGTCGCACATTTATGAAAGAAGACCGAAATTTACTTGTGATGACTACAGGAGAATTGACCTGAGATTTTCCGATTATTCTAAGATCCATTAGTAATGAATAGGAATAGTGATTTCCACAAAACCAGATACTTTGTTCACCATTTCCTGATACACTGAGCACAGACCTGTTTACCAGCTTGGTGTTAAGACAATGTCTGTCATCGAAATAAGTGGCTGTTACTACTGTGAGCTCAATGCTTGAATACTAACAGTTAATTAAGAGCTCATTATGAAAAAATCCAAACCAACTAGGTTGAGAAGCGATTATCAGAAATATCTCACTTCAGCACTTGAGTAAACCCAGTGACAAACATAAACGAGAAAAAATTATTTCTTCCTCTGTAACTAATTTCTGACGAAAAAACGTCCTGATAGCGATGAAGCACATGAATGCTAGATACCTGTCTTTCAAAAACTGGGAAGGAATGTAATAAGGTGAATAGCAAACATTTTCTACCTGGTAAATAAACACTGCTACCTGAGGACTGAATTGTCCACTTTCAATTCAATGAGTGAGGTGATCAACTGCAAAGACCTGACCAACTTTATTCCCTCTGAAAGCTGTCAACATTCCGATGAAGATACAAAAGCGCTATTCATCTTTTACAACCTAATGAAATCTGTGGTTGAATATATCGCAGTTTCACTACCAGACAGTAAAATTTGAGTGTTGAAATTCAAGCTCTTGGAAACTGATACCTTCAAAATAATGAAAGCATCTAGTGAAATCACTTAGTGATTAATGTTGAACTGATAAGCAGAGTTTTTGATTAAGAAATATAAATCATTTTATGCGACTGAGGATTTACATTGAACAGGGTGCATAAGGCATAACATTGCACATGTACGGTAACACTTTAATGTGCTGGGTCTCCTACTCAATGTGAGATAATCATACTATTTTTCGAATCAATCGATGAAGGGAGTTATAGTTACTAAAAGGGTAGGTGTGGATCATTGAATAGTAACCCGGTAACAGAATGGTAATACTGATGTCACGAAATCTGAAAGTCCTAGTTTCAAAACTGTTCAAGTTCATGAATTTGATTTCATTCGGGATCAGAAACAGCCATCTATATAGATGACTGATAGATTTCAACAATACGAAGAACAATACAACTACATAGACGTTTAATTTAACATATAACACTACTAAAGTGAAAGTAAATCAACAAGAGGACATTCGGGAAAACAAAAGTGGTGATAGCCAAATACAGTGTGCAGAAAACAACGTACTATACGTATATAGTGGTGGGATGTTTATAATTCATAGAAGAAAAAGTGGACTACGCAACTATTCGTAATTCTGAACCACGCCAGTTATTGTCGAATCATAAATTTCAGTTGCCTCACACATACTCACCAGGAAGCTGGTAACAACCTAAACACCTGATAATAACAGAAACTTTATGGGTCGGTACCACGTTTTGGTCTGTTACTTAGAGGCTTTTATATTTCTATTATTATCCTACCTAACACTAACATTGTGAGTTGAATTAAATTGAGACTAGGCAAGCGTAACACAATTAAATGGCCTTCGTTGATAGAATTACACAACCTACTACTCAGCACATAAAATCTGTTTGACATTGGAAATTACCAACTGCTGACTAAAATCACAGTTCCGCATATTGCTGTCACACAGCGGCCTTTTATAAGTTAGAATTCTTCATCATGCATCATAATGAATCACATCAAGAAAGAGTCATAACACATGGCAAATAAAAGATGAATTCCCATAAACATTCGAAACAACAATTAGATACAGTTCTGAGGGTTAAACAAAACAGTCATAATAACAGTGTATGTGAATAAACAAACTCCCTACCTACCTAGAGTACACAATAATAACTTCAAAGAGAATCGCAGACAAGACTTTTTCAAGTGTATATTAATATTTTACATAAAACACCGAATGCGAGCCAACAATCAGAATGCTATGTAAACAAAAAAAAGCCAGTCAACACAACACTTAGAGAAGAATGCAGCATATTACCTCAAAATATGGTACGATAACGTTAGTAGTAGTAGCAAGAGAACAGAAAATAAACGTTTAAATTAACAATCGAATTTTCTAAACATACTTCATCCTATTGTCAAACTACTCAATAGCGGAAATAAAATCAGTAGAAAAGTGTAGAAATGCTTATATCAACACACAGAAACACATAACACCTATTGTTTATCTTTAATATGCGCGACTTTATATCATAGAGACTAGATGAAGGGGAGAAAAAACGATAAACACGTATAAACTGGTTGGCAAACGAGAAAACAATACAAAAATGCATGTCTGATGATCAGCAAGAACCGAAAAGAAAAGAATAATTGATCAGTTAAACAGAGAAAATAAAAAGGATAACAGAGGTTGACTGATCGTTTACATGTTCAATGAAATGCAAGTATGAATAGGAGGCAAAAAAGTAACTCAAAGTATGATATTTATATAGAAAGGAAGCGTAAAATCCTCGTTTTCACTGGAGCGGAAGTATGCAAAACCGGTAGTAATCATATAGCAGCGAAAAAAAAAGTTGTTCAAGTGATTGTGAATTAGTAAAATCAAAAAAACACTCATGCTGGAAGTACTACATCTTTATTTTGTCCCCTAACTTATAAAAACAAGAAACTGACGAAGCGAATTATTGGGATATATAACTGGATCTAACTAATTGTTAACTTTGAGAAATATTAGCTTTCACGATGCTTGTGGACCAGTTGCAGGAATTGGAGACGGCTGAGCATTACCTGAGCCATTATTTAAATTGACTGATACATTTGGGACATTTGTGTTGCGTTTCAATTGCTCTTGCATTTTACTCATAAGTTGTTGCATTCGTTGAAGCTAGATAAATAAGAAATGCGGAAGGAATTCGTTAATCTTAAGCAAAATAAAATCTGTAATTAAAGAATAATGCAAAGCCTTAAAAATGATACATCTAGTACAGTATTTTTCAATCATCTACCATTTAGTATGATAAAACAAGATTAGTTACAACAACAACATAAAGGATCCGGATGTTTGCATAATAAATGTCAACTGGCTTGTTACTTTTTGCACTAAACTTTGTTTGTCTCCTAATTTGTTATTGCAGTGAATCGAAATAATTGCTACCTTTCAACCATTGCCAACAGTAAAACTCAGTAACCGACCCCCCTGGAAGCCAATAATAGATGTAAATTAACAACCAAGCTACTGTATGACAGTTGGTTGACACAATACGATGCCACGAGTTAATTTCACACGATTGAAGCCTAAAATTCAATGATTAAACAGTGAATAACTGTATCATCACCAGTATTAATACGTAGCAATCATCAGCTGTACATAGAATGTCAACTGAATCATAATTTACCGAGAAGCTGGTAGAGACCAGTGGATTCAAAATTGATACTGAAATGGCAATACCCATTGCTAATGTCATGTTCTTTCGTGGATGATAACTTAGCATTATCTCTTTATTAAACGCATTACTTGCACTGCCTAGTTCTCTTATTAATAAATCCTACGTTAACAATGTTTCGATAACCTTTTATTAAATTTTATAAAGAAAATAAATTCATCTTCATTGGTCACCTTTTTAAATGAATAAATCCCGAGTGAATTAGGAAACTATTCTCTCATAATGGGGAAATAACTGCCTGAAACTATGAAATAAAAAAACTTTTATGGGTAATCCTAGTTAAATCGTGGAGTTTAGAGTGAAAATTGAAGTCATTATCACCATCAAGATAAACATAGGACCAGGTATTACTGTGTAGTGGTCCAAGTTACCACACCTCATATCACTACACCAAGTAACAAGGCAATAAAGTAGATGACGACGGAAAGAAAATTGACCAGAGGAAGTGAGAAGTGGTAAACGACGGGGAGGAGGAATGAGATGATCAGATTAAGTATAGAGATTAAGATGAAGATAAGTTGTGCATACATCTATCTGCATCACTGACATCCGTTCTCAGCCATATCACGTAGAGTCTACAACAACTGGTTTCTATTGTCCTACCGACCCCAAACGGATAGTCTGCATAACCACAACATGGCTAAAACCAACAATCAGTGAATTCATACATTGATGTCATGCTTTACTCTCCTCACTCTGAGCCCTTTCCCACCTCAAACCTATTTCAGTCAACACTGTGTGACGAAGTAGACGGTGGCTAGACATACGTAACACATGTCCCAACCATCTCAGTTGATGAAGGTTCACAATTTCATTAACTGCCTTACTTCTCCGGCCTAAAACTCGATATCCCACTTCTGTGTTACTCACGTGGTGACATCAGGAAACATCGCTTATGCTACGAAGGCAACGGTGGCCAAACGCATGAAGCCTTCTTATGTCTTTTACCTTTAATGGTCACGAAATTGAAGTGGGCGTGCGCGAAGAAGCTATATTAAAACTGTTCTCTAGAACGAAGGATTCGAATTTATGAAAAAGAAAACAGGATAGAATAACGCAAATTAGTATGACATATCCATTTCACAGGAGAGTAAACAAGTGGACTACTGTGGTTCATACAGCTTTTTGTTTACTTATCAATTACATTTGCGTAGAATGAGATAGTAAGACATTGTTTTAGGTTGTCAGTTTAAAAAACAGCAAAAACAAACATGAAAAAACGAAAACAACGTGAAAGGAAAGAAGACTAGACAAAACAAGTGTAAGCAGTCGTAAACTTGTCATCAACTTTCATTTTATGAGATTAAGAAGACATTAACAGAAACTCTACAGATTGTTAATACCAATAATTCGCGTCTTTTTTGAAAATACAGGCACACATCGGCTTACATCAAATAATCATATCACTTCAAGTAATCAAAATGGGAGTACGAGAGGAACAATTTGAGCTGTACAAAATATACTACTGGCTGGTATGAGTAGACCACTGTAAACCACTTACGCTAACAAGACGCCTATATTCGAAAACTAGTAGTTTCTTCTCACCTAATTCCAACGGCAACGGGACAGAGCGAACTATAGGTTGTCGAATATCTCGTCAGTGCCAGAGATGACATAAGTTGGCAAACGAAGATAAAGCGAATGATGACGGCAGACATCCCTGGTGGACACCACTCGTTATCGTCAATTCAAATAACAACTCTCCATGATCCCCTACACAGCTGTGTGAATTCGGGTAAAGGACTTCGAATCACATTGTATACTTGCTTTGTAGGCGATTCCTTCACATACAGACACTTCTACAACAGTTCTCGGTCGGAAGAGTAAAATTTCATATTCACGTCAAGAAATATAACACCTATTGTGTTCCAAAATCTATTAGTGTATGAAAATCTGATCGACGCCCCTTGTCAAAGTCTGAAATCTGTCTGGTTTTCTAGCGCTCCAGTTAGACATTAGATAGCCAATGGACCCTAAAGTCTTAGATGCAATGTTGATCAAAGTGATCCTCATGTGACTATCACACGATGACTTCTCACCTTTCCTGTAAACTGAAGCGCTTACCTATATAGATTACTTTAACGGAATTACCTTATATACTAGCCAGTATCTCACTTACTCCACCCAGTAATTTTTTACTTTTGGTGTTTTTAAAAGCCTTCGATGACAAACCGTCACGCCCTGATGCTTTGCATCATTTCACGTTTAAAACAGCTTTTTGAACTTCGAGGAGAGTTAGACGACCAACATCTCCGTCTCCTATTCAAGTCCGGGCTGAATATTGGCCAAATGAAGTGCCGCTTTTGCCCGACGAACTGTGCGTCTGTGTTCCGCCCAGGGTTCCTGTCGTCTGTCACGAAAGGTTATCACAGTCGCATCATTTTTGGTTACGGTCTCAATAACCATCATCTTCTTACCAGTATCCATAATAAGCCTAAATAATTGACGATTATTACCTAATACTGATGCATTCTCCATCTCTGTTGCTTTCAGCACCCACCACTGCTATCTTTGTGAAGACTATAAGTCAATTAACATTCAAGCTGCTTTCGCTCCCCATAGAGCCAGCTGGAAAGTGTTTTTCTGCATGTTAGTTCAGGCGACGTTTTGGGAACCCACTGGCTTTTGTTAACCTTTGGATATAAATTACCAACTAACTTTGCCACTGTTCCTAAACCAAGTTTCCTTAGGATGAGAATTACCGTCACGTTCAGATAAACACTTAGATCCCTTCTACTTAAATACATACTTAGTGTTCACATCTTCTAATCGATCACGCACAGGCTTAATTGCTGCCTGTTTCCTGTCACAAGTAAGGCCCAAACATACATGTGACCGTACTAACGCACGACTGGAGTTCAAGCAAGTATTCCAGAAAGAGCAGCAGTCGTCTTTTGATCCTCTTTAACGATGACTTATAGCAGTATGATCCATCTTTGTCCATCACTGTTTTGATTTCAGCAAATGCCAAGTAAGACAGTGTATCTCTCTGTGTTTGAGGTTAGTGCTGGCTAGAAACAAGTGATTGTCAGAACGCAACAGCAAGAGAGAACAAAGTCATAGGTTTGCTGGCGTGGGATATTGTAGATAGTTATAAGCTGCCTTTTCGATTGCCTGAGCTTCTTTACTTGAGTGTTGAAGTCGCTTGCAAGTATGACTTTGTCTGAACATTTTACCTTCTATAGGGGAAATGGCGTCTTTTGATAGGATTAATCCCTTGCATCATCCGAACTGCAGTCGGTGGGCACATAGGTGGAGATTATGAACAGGCATCACCAAGTCTCACGACCCTGATTAGTTCATATTCGACGTTTAAATCAAAGAAAGTAGCTAATTTATGTGGTGTCAGAATGATGTCATTAAAAATCACACAAGTTTGTGATTATTAACTCATACAATACCAATTAGAAAAGCAAAAAACACAGTAATAAATTTATGCGATAGATTTTCAAAAGCTACATTTATTTACCGATAATGGAGAGATTCAATTCAAAGAACATAATAAAAAGATTTCAAACATATATTAGTATGCACCCATCAGCAGTTGTTAGCACATGAAAATAATTTAGACTAATTACAGTAAGGTAAGGTCACGTATCATTCAGCCATTTTAATGATACCTACGTGAAAATCGCCTGATATATTATCTTTTTGAAGAATGTAGAAAAGCGTATACATTGTTAAGAGAAATGATGATATTTTATGGACGCGAAAGACTTTTTTATCTGGAAACGCAACTCTTAGATTTGGTGTTTAAAAGAATATAACCATCTAAATAAATCCTTTAATCTATAACTCTTCGATAAGTCCACGATAGCTCAAAAGATTTACAAGTACAAAAGAACACATAATCATAGCTTATAATACCGTGGTTAAACACTAATCATCAGGTTTCTTTAGTCGCATCTATCCTGAATAATCTCAAGTGGTAAGCCGAACCAATTCAGTTGAACAAGACAACTAGTACTCAAACCCTGAATATAAGTGGATGAATTGGGTATGTCAGAAAAGCACTATTTCATAGCTAAACGATTTATAATGTAATTCACTACTAAGTCTTTTCTCCATAGATTTTTTTCAGTGGAACTAGAATTTTCGGAAATGAAAATGATTCGCCGAAAAGATTTCCTTCCCTGAATTGTCTTTAGTTAATTGTTCGGGAATTGTTTAGTCAATATGTTATCGTTTTGCCTTTGTAACTCTTTTATCTTCAGGGTTGATTCAAAGTTCATTTTAGTAAACACTGTTAGCAGAAGCAAATCTCATGTGGAGTAAAAATGTAAACAAAGCTGTCGTTGTATGCACTGGTGACTCCAATTCGATTAACAATGATGGGCAGTACATTAGTTGTGTGCACTGAACAAACTACAAGTACATTAAATTCCAGTATACATGTATCAATTAGTTTAGGAAAAACTAACAGCTAATACATTGGGTATCCCATTTTGTATGATGGTTAATTCCGATTTCAAAGACTAAATAATAAATAACATAAAAGTAGGCTATGATAGTAAGGTAAAACTAACCTCTTCTTCTTTTTGTTTTAACAGACTATCTTGATCAACGATAGCCTCAAAGCCAGCTCCACCCTCTTTTTCTAGCCTGGCCAACCTGTAACAATTGCACAGGAAAAAAAGTAATATATGATAGCTCAATCAAATTTATGAGTCAGTAAAACCATTTAAATAGATTAAGTCTTCTGCCATGTGTTGGTTTATCATCTCAACTAAGAGTATGGATAATATCAGAAAAGTGATTTTTAGGATTCATTTACCACATACGTAAGATAACCTTAACAGTTGGTCAACAGATATGCGATGTACATCTTGTACACCACAAGACTAACACTATTGTAAAGCAAATATTGTATTCTAGGTATGCTACTGAATAATTTTTGAGTAGTCTAATAGACTCGAAAAAACTAAAAATCACACGAAAATACTTGGAAATCCACCCAACAAATGACATGTCAAAAAACACCATCAAAAGACAGGCACTTTGCAGGTTGACGAGGAACGTTTTGCATAATGAGGTAACAATGAGAACCGAACTACATGAAGCCAAATGCAAGTACCTATCTAGCTGGAATATGTAGAAGTTTATTAAGCTCCAAGAGAAGCAGTGGAAAATAATAGACAAGAATGATTTATGCAGTAAAAAGTTAAAACTGTATGATATTAGATAATATGAATGAAGGGATTTTGTGGAAACAATTAGTTTAGGGTAGAGAAAACGTTCATTTTTAATAAGGAACGCTCGCGGTCAATCGATCAATGCATTCTGGAGCTCATTGGAAGTATGTGAGTTCAAACTCAGAAAACACATTCTTTCTTTCAGTACGGAAGTCGGAAGCGCAGTTGGTGACTTATTGTTCATTATATTGGAACAGTGGGAGAGTTGAAAGAATGATAAAATAAGAGATTGGAAATAGTTTTCGACAACACGAAGATGAGACTTAAATTAGTGGATTCGAATTTCGCAAATTATGCATAACGAAGCCACTGGTAATTCACTAAGCCTAGACTCTGTGTGCAAAAGAAGTATGTTTAGTTACTCACCACTTTTTGTTGCTTGATACTTGTGATTTCCTGTTGCTATACACGGTCGAATCCCTCAACCACTGTTGGAAGATGGGCTCCTTTGTGGATGCCTCGATACTACCTGAAGCGGTGGGTACTTAGTTCGAGCCCCAGAGGTGACAACATCACTCACTGGAGTGCAGGCATATCCAGCTGACGAGTCCCAAATAGGGCAAAACGCCCATCCTAAATTCCAATGAGAGTCACCAAGATGGGTACAACACCATAGATATCTGGCAGTGTCGTGGCATCCATATGAGCCCATAATCCGACAATGGTCGAGCGATTCAACCCACAATAACAACGGGAAATTACAAATGTCAAACAACAACACATGATACTAGTTGCAAAAGTGGTGACTCTCGTGCCCCAGTGGATAGCGCTTTGCTGCTTGGAGTGATGGGTACTGGGTTCGAGTCTCAGTGGGAACAACATAATTCAGTGACGTGCAGGTACATTCGGCTAACGAGTCTCAAACAAGATGAAATGTGCGTCCTGGGTTTTGCTGCGAATCACTAAGATGAAGACATACCATTTTGATCATGACAAACTAGAACCAAAATGCGGAACAGTTTTTACATTTTTTAAACTGAAAAACTAAGCATCACATAATGAAGCTCATCTGCGCTTTACGTCCTACATTGGTCACAGAAAATAAAGTGATTAAATATGGTAAATTATTTAGCCAAAAAAACACAACTCAAAACTGACCTGATAGACGAATTAGTCTAACGCAAAGGTGCAGTAGACTCGCAGCCAGTTGTACATTTTCAGTTCCCTAACAGTTTTCTGTTAAAAAAGTAAAGTCCTTTGAGGGATGAATCAAACTTTTCGAATGCTTAAACTTCCAAAGATACTGTGACTGGTTTTTAGTAGACACCATTTGTTTTGTCGTCACATAACGCCGATACATTTCCCTCTTAGGATAAATCAGGATATAAACTTCACTATCGACAGCCACGAAGTATCAGTGCCCTACACAGTTTCAACAGTATATAACGAATTTTAATTGTCACGAATTCGCTTCACCCACAATGTTAATGGGTTGGTGGAGGCTAGTAATGTAAATCAGAATATGCGTTTCGTCCCACGTGAGACCTTCTGATTGCACGTTTCTCTTTGTTAGTGAATAATGGCGTCCCCACTGAGGTCCGAACCAAGCACTCACTGTTTCAAACGCAAAGCACTACACTGTCAAATCTTGTGTATTAGAAACCACTTTTTTCACCTGTGTATCCTTGTCATTTCATACTGTTTATGTTATTTTACCGGACCTCATTGATCGGTCTCAGTTGACATACTACTGTCATTTATCTTTGTGATTTTCTTCTGGTACTAACACCATCACTCCCATAGTTTCTTTAACTATCTGTTTACTTACGATTCCACTCAATAATTTTGATTTCCAGAAACCATCCCGTCATAAAACTATGCATCCGTTAGATATTCCAACATTAGAATTTAACAGCAAGACTCAAAAGTCTAAAATGTATCATCCTAACAAGTGGATGAATGCTAAATTTCTCAGGTACGAACTACAATACTCAAGTGTGATTATTTGGTCAATGACAGGAATCAGTCATAATTAAGACTAATATGATGTAGAAACATAAAGTTGATAAATATAGATGTCTAATGTCACAAGATGCTTCCACTATGAAGTAGAGTTAAATAACCACTTGTAGAATGATCCTCAGATCGAGATAAGTCATTCAGTAAAGCGATACACCTAGGAAGAATCTGATGATTTGGTCATCCTTTAGGCACTGAGGATTCAAATATCTGAAAACACCAGAAGCATAGAAAAGTTTCAAAACAGTCAGATTAAAACTGGGTAAAAGACCACGAAATAACTGATCTTGATTGAAAACAGTGGCCAACTATACCGTGAATATGGATGTTCAATGAAAATTAAAAGCTAAACACAATATACAATGAGTTAATATGAGGTTGGAAATACAATAAACAACAAAGTCAACTGTTTTTACTATGTAACACTTACGCTCCAGTCCCAGCACCTTCACGACGATCACTCTGACGTTTAGACATTCTTTCAGTAATGTATTTTGCACGATAATTTTCATAATGAATATCCAATGTCATATCCTTTAGATCTTGCATATGTGTCCTAAAAACAACATCAGAAATTAGGAGGAAGAAGCTGTAGGTTAACTTGTCTTAAGAAAAAACTCAATTTTTGAAAAACAACCAATTTTCGATTCAAAAATCAAACAATTACCTGATAAACTGATATTATTGATTGACTGGGGAAAAGTAGAAAATAAAACTGATCCTACTCCTAAAACTATGCTATGATGATCTGTCAATCTTTGGAAAGTATTTACTAAACAACAGACATTATTCTTAACAGTTTGATTACCTAACCACCTTTGTTTGTAAACTTCTGAGAGATGATCGTGTATTTGCGTTCAATAAGTAAATGCTTCACCGATCTTGATCTTATACAGCACTATTTATTTAACGACTTAAGCACTACTTACAATACACTGTAAGGGCTGCAAAATCTCAGGTAGAAGTGGAATAAAAGTGGTTAGTCCCTCTAATATCAATTGCGTACTATCATAGGTAGTCTTATATACATAAACCAATATCATGCAGTAGACCAGGAAGGCTGACAAAGCCCATTTGTTGAATGTTGAAATAGTCGTGTTCAGTGTCGAAGCTAATGAGTAAGATACATTGACCCGTCACTAGAGACCGGGCAATTGCATGTTGTCTAATCCTGAGGATTGACCAAATTCTATCCATCATTTTGCAATGTGGCCACTATGCAAGAAGGTTTACCATCGTGATTTATTTTGACAGATGTTAGTTGGTTAAAGGTAATCAGTAGAGAACTCTCGATTTAGATTTCGTGCTTGTTGGGACTCGTCAGCGAGGTGTTTCTCCCATTTCGAAGGAACTGATGTCCCTGTGAAGTTCGGACCCGCACCACTCAGTGTTGTAGTCAGTGACGTCATCACTGAGCTGTTCAGCCGCTGACGAGAAAAGTGGGTGGCGTGGATTCGAGCCGCACAGAGGATATCAGTTTCCTCGGGGTTGCAGATATACCTTGCTGACGGGTGCCAACAAGCACGAAACCTAATTCCAGAGCCTCCTGACGACTGCCGCCAATCAACTAACATTTACAATTGAGTAACATTTCTGCAAAGATTCAACACTCTGATATTACAACTACAATAACAAGAAGCCTTACTTAGCTTCGGTACTGAGCTTGTTAGCCTACAGCACCAATCTTCAGTAAACTTAGATCTCCTCAGAGATTCGAACCTTTGTCATGCAATGCTGAAGTCAAAAACCTAAACTACTCATGTAGTTGGTGAGTAGTACAAAGAGATTGGGCTGACTGACTGACTGACAAAATCAACAAGAAGATTAATCGATGATAACATTTGAAAACATAACGACAAGTGGTCTGGTTCTGAATCTCAAGCAAAATATACAACTTTTTGTTGTCTAAAGAGAAGAACCTGATTTTAAAGCTTCCCACTGATTTGCCTCAATTATTCTACGCGTTACTTTTTCCAGACTTACAACAATGCAATACAACCTCCAACGCAACTTGTTTCGTTTATCAACAGGCAACATTGCTTACGTTATTGACTGGTCTAGATAATGAGAGTTATCATGTTTGACGAATTGTTATACAGCGTGTAATGCAATTATCTTAATAGTAACTCAGATCAGCTACAGAAGAAATGAAATGTAATTACTAAGTGACTGAGTACCACCACAGTGCACCATAGGCAATTTTGTGTACCAGCGGTTTTGAAGGAAAAACTGGAACAGAAGGGAATAAGCATGGAATAACATTCAAAATTCTGAAGATATGGAACAGAGATGTATACGCTAATGATTGAGATATGGAACTTTCATAGATATAATCAACTTTATAGCAAATTCTCAGGAAGGTGATACTTGTGGAAACAAAAACTATGAATAAAAATTCACCAGGATGATAATTAAAGTGTGACTCAATTGCTTATTGTAACTTTATCTATTGAGATATAATATTCCTGAATAAGTAAATCTCTATGAAGACCATAGAATGAGTTGGATTTTACACCAACCAGCTAGCAGAGCTTACTCTTTATCAGTTATCATGATCTGAACCAACCTACTTTGGTCGCATTCACATAAACTCCCATGAAGTCTACAATCGCTAACTTCTGAAATTTTGAGGAAAATGGTAATAAATGTGTATCGTGTATTTCACAGTTTTCACATCTATTGTGTAAGGGTCGATAGTGTACTACCAGCATCAGAAGGTGTAGCAAAAGTTAGAACCCTTTACCTATCTACTTATGTTAATGAGTTGTATTTCAATCGATGTGTTGGATTACCTCGAAAGGCATAAATAGGACAGTTGGGAATATAACAAAATCAGTATGATCTACGTTTTCATACATTGTCAACTCTGTTTGTAGAGTTGAGTGAAGTGAAAAATAGTATGTAGGTGTAGAAGACAAGGAGAGAAATATAAAAGAGAAGGAGGAAAAAATCAATAATCATGACAAGAATGGATTCGGAATTTACTGAAGGTACACGATAACTTTTACTTTATAGCTGCCAATACGCTGAGGTTTTGCAAGTTGTCTGGAAGACAGTGGATTAGTATAGGAAGTATGATTAACTCACTTTCGTGACCTCAGACGTGAAAATACGTTTTCAACGTTTAGTCGTTCCCTTCAAGAAAACCACTGATATTGATAGATTCCCATGAGATAATATGAAGTCTCAACTTATTCTGACCTTATCTTTCGAAACTCACACGGCAACACTGAAAATGATAGTCACCCTAGGAACACAAAAAAGACTTCATTCTCGAGTACCAATCACAGTGCAACAATGTGAGCAATTTTGAGATCAGGCGTAGAGTACTAGACGAGGGAAGACAGTGGATGACAGACAGATAAAATCAACATACAACCTTGCACATAAGTCCATCGGTTCAAATTGTCACACTTCACAGCAGTATACAGAGAACAAGTGGGTAGAAAAAGAGTGATATCAGAGTAGAAGAAGTTGTATGAGACAACATACAACTTGAAGATCAAAGTTAGTGCAAATATTCAAGCTTTAGAAGATGTCACGAAGTGAATGCATCTGTACGATTGTGGACGATTTTCAGCGTGTTCAGTGGGAGTCCTTAACCACTGATTCCTATCGTCTCGGGGACTATACATACTTTCCCGGTACTCATTTTACAGTCAGAGACTGCCACAACAACTCACGGTCGATAGACTCAAATACTGCCTTCACATCAAGGAACATGCCAAGTGTCGACCACTGATAAGTGTGCCTGTTTCAGAACCTGTTGAAGGGTGAGAATCTGACTGATACAGCCTCTTGAAGGTAAGAAACCATAACTTATTCTTTGAATACTGTAGTGAAATATATCAACTTGAACTGATGCAGTCTGGCGCCAGGTTTGTTACTGATACGCTTGTGTGTATCATACTTTATTTTACCGCTTCTTAATAAACCACTCAGGAATCATAGAACTTCAGTAAGTAGGTCAGATAGTACAGACGGAAACACAAACAGATGTGTAACATATAGCCCTGATCAAAAATATAATTGATGCCAATCAATAAGGTGCAGTATTCCATTTCTAATTTCGTTATTGTCTTACACATTCTAGTTATGTAACTTTTTAACATCAACATTCATAACAATTTCTGCTATGAATATTGATCATTGTAAACAGATAAAAAGGAAGAAAAAAATAGTAGACAAAACCATCAATTCAGGTGTAAGTAACACTTTGATACAATGATTACAGGTCATTTAAACCAATAAAATTTGATTTAATGTAGTTTTACTTTATGATTTGAATGCAGGTACAATTTATGACAATAGTCATCTACAGACTATAAAATGTCATTAATTCCGTCAACAATAACAAGATTTATGAGACTTCGAACCATTCCCTAACAATCCACTCGTTTTTAGCTCCAAACAAGACGGAGGATGTTCTGTCGCTAAAATGATGGGATTAATAGAAATAGGAGGCATTTCTAAGCAGTAATCAACAAAATAATGCACCAATATACCGATATCACTTTATGCACCAAAAATCAAAAAAAAGGAAGACTATGCAAAAGTGGATTAACTATGAGACACCACTTACTTCAATAAAAATATGCGCAATTTTGTGAAGTCACAATGACGACTATTCTCTACTTCAACTGATCCCCAAGGATATTGCCTGCCACGAGCTCGTCGACTACCATCTAAATCAATGACACAATTACTGCCAACTATGGCAAACGGTAGAACAGCCTAGTGAAAAATAAACAAAAAGAAAAGATAAAATGAAAATGAGACAAAATAATTGATCTTTGACACATACATCGCATGTACTAAAAAAAGGTTCGAGATACTTTATTTTGAAAGTACATAAAAGATGTGCGCACTAAAATCATATCAGCAGTCTAGAAATACTGCGCAGCATCTGCTTAAAGTGATCTCACAAGTTTTAAGTCATAAATATGCTTAGTTCATATCAATCAGGGTAAAGAAACGAATACTAAAAATAGCAACAGTACGAAATTCAGTGGTATACGTGAACGAAAGAAGACTTAATGTTGTTGCTTGTATTATCCGCCGTTTAGTGGACCGAATTGATCGGTTCCTATTGGCATATGGGCTCCTGCGCGCATGCTTCGATATTGCCTGTGTTTCAACTATATACCAATGATGGATGGGGCCTAGCAGTCAAATCTAGAGTGTGCGTTTCGCCCTGTTTGGGACTCATCAGCTGAACATGCCTGTCTCCCAGTGTGATGTTAGAATAATACAAGCAATAACATTAGAACTATACCCACCGTATAAGAACTGGCCACAATGAGTCGGCGGTCTAGTGGATAACGCCTTGGCATTTGATGTGATCGGTCCCGAGTTCAAGTCTCGGTGGGAACAACATCATTCACTGGTAGGTATGTACACCCAGCTAACGAGTCCCAAATAGGGCGAAATGCGCATCCAAGACTCCACTGCTGGCCACTTCCCACCATTAATATATAGAAGAAAGACTTATTCCCTAATTCCGGACAATTAACACAAAAAAAACGACAATAACTGGATAAAAGATTTACTTCGGTCAAAGATTTTGAATACCTACACAACTACACTGTTTTTACAGAATCATAACGCTCTTAAGAAAGACAAACTGAACAGTAAATGAAAAGTAGATATAAAAGTCAGCAAATAAATAGAATCATATGCAGTAGCCGAAATAGACGATGGAAAAGATGTGAAAGATGGACGGAAAAACAAATTTATATTTTACAAGGTGAAGTTTGAGAACTTTACGTAATTGATGTTAGATTCTAAGGTCTAAACAACGTCAACAGTGACCCAACATATTAAGTTAAGCTGAGGATTGGGGTAGGAAATATGTAGTATAAACACATTTAAAATTTCGTTGTCATGAGAAAGCCTCTAATTAAAAGAATAAGACCTATACAACCTATCTATATAATAAAGGAAACAAATTAAACCACACAGTCAGCATACGTATGAAGAAAAAGCCACTTTACAATCGTAATAAATATATAACTCTTTATTAAAGACCAGGGGATATGGCTCAGTGGTTTATGGAGACGACTATCAACCATTTGGTCACGAGTTCGAACCCCACTCCAACTACTAAGGTTTGCTCAGCAAGGTAGTATCATTAACCCTCACAAAATAAGTGTGGTTCATTATCTCGTGCACGGACGTGCAAAACGTTGCCTAGTGTGCTTCATTTTTAAATACCCTGTTTGCAAGAAAAACTGAATACGTCTTCCACATAAGTGAATCCATTCAAAAACATAGGAGTAAAACTTGGACACTATGCTCGATTGTAATTCCATTTTAGTTTGTTTATTAGAAACACTATACAGTGAAACAGTATCATTTACTGGATAACGTTTCGGACACAATTTGTTGTCCATATTCATATCAGGTGACTCCACAACTTCGAGAAAGAGTTTACATACATTCCTAATTTTCTCTCATCTGTGATGAAAAGGGCAGTATATATATATATATATATATATATATATATATATATATATATATATACATTCATAAGAAATCGATAGAAAAATGTTAGCAGTGGTAGTAGTAATACAGGTGTTATTGACAGTAATTCTACTACTAATGGTGATAATGGTAACAAAGTTAAGGGAAAATTCAAAACCTCTGCTGTGTCACAATACAAGGGAGGCACCTCAGAACAATTACGAAAAATTCTCAGTAGAGCTGGGATTAAAGTGGCTGGTATTTAAACAAACAAACTCCCTTAGAAACAAGCTTTGTAGGTTAAAACATCCTATCGATGCAATTAAATAAAATAATCCGGTTTACCAGATCCCTTGCAATGACTGCGAGATCAAATACATAGGTCAAAGTAGTCGACCAGGGTTGATTAGCATAACAGCATAACACAAAAATCAACATTAGTTGATCCTAATAAGATAAGAAATTTAGAGAAAAGCTCGACTGTAGCTCTGCACGTAATCACACACAATCACAAAGTAGGGTGGGATAGAGCGACAGCGTTAAAAACTTAGTTGGAGGGAGGGAGGGAGAGATCGATAACCGAATCCTTGTTTATCGAATCAACACCAAATACAGGGAATAGAAAGGATTCAATACCTGTCCTATATATAAGGAAAATTCTACTACCCTTGTCATCCACAGAGGAGAGAAAATTAGGAATATATATACACTCTCGAAAATGTGGAGTTACCTGATATGAGTATGGACAACAAATTGTATCCAAAACGTTATCCAGTAAATGATACTGTTTCACTGTGCAACGTTTCTAATAAACAGACTAAAATGAATTTATTCAGATTTTTTTTAGGATTATCTATATCTAAATGCATTCAGCAGGAAATATTTTGCACGAATAATCAACAACTTATTTACGGATTTACAATGTATGCTGCCACTTATTCAATAAATGATTTACTTACCTTAATTTCTTTATCTAAACGTTTAATTTCATCTTCTTCATCACTATCACATTCGGGTAAACGATAAATATCAATTTTGTAACGATCAAAATCTGCCATAATACGTTCTTTGAATGCACGCAATTCATTAGCAGTCAGTGCATCAGCTTTAGCTATTACAGGAACAATATTCACTTTGTGCTGAAGTCGACGCATGAATTCTACATCAATCTGTCGTAAACTAAATTTAAAAAAGGACATTCTTGATTATCATTAACCAAGTAAATTTTAATGATTATCGCAAACCGCCACCCAATGTCATCGTTGAGTATTTGTCCTCACGGCCATCAGGCTTTGACTCCACCGGTCACGACTTGTCATTGGAACTTCGGGAATACTTCTCGAAGCTAGTCACCAATGAGCACCAGTTCAATTAAATTTTGAGGGGGTTGTGGAGATTTGGGAATATTTCAAGTTGTTATTCATCGAAGACTGACAGCAGTTGGAGGAACAAAGGAAACCTGGGAGCACTGGACAGCTGTTTCGTCCTAGTATGGGACTCCTCAGCAGTGCGCACCCACGACCCCACCAGCAGGTGACCCAGTGGCTCAATGGTAACGCGCTGGTCGCGGAACCTGAAGGTCGCGGGTTCGATCCCTGCTGGTGGGGTCGTGGGTGCGCACTGCTGAGGAGTCCCATACTAGGACGAAACAGCTGTCCAGTGCTCCCAGGTTTCCTTTGTTTCTCCAACTGATGTCAGTCTTCGATGAATAACAACTTGAAATATTCCCAAATCTCCACAACCCCCTCAAAATTTAATGATTATCGTTGTTCAACCAATTCCGCAAACAAAATCAACTATATATAGAAAATCTACCTTTCTTTAGTGTTATTCAATATATACTTCAAGTTAATTAAAGAGAAGCAACATTTAGAAGTAGTATTCATCATGGACTGACATCAGCTGGGGAACCATTGAAAATCTGGGAGCACTGCTGAGGAGTCCCATACTAGGACAAAACAACTGTCCAGTGCTCCCAGATTTTCAATGGTTCCCCAACTGATGTCAATCCATGATGAATACTACTTCTAAATTAAAAATCCCCATTCATCTCAAAAATACAGAAGCAACATTATAAGTTAACGACAAAGAACTAGTTAAATGTTCCGAATATTTGATTAATGCCCACCGAATTATGAGTCAGTATAGAGTTGTAAATATTTGAATCTTGATAAGTGTAATCAAATATTATTAGTCAAAAATATTAGCAAACTGATTCGATGTAAATGCAACAATTTGAATCGATGCACCTATTGTCAGCTAGTGTCAGTCAAATGTAACACTTCACATTCATTGATACCTGATTATTTCTACTGAACAAATTGAATAATTAGAAACCTATCAAGCTGGTCTATAGATTTCCCCAGTCAGATCAGAGTGATCTGGCTAACGGAACCTACAGATCACCTTGAGTGCTTTCTAACTACTTAAGTTGTTCAATAGTGTATTTCGCTAGTTCATAACACACACATTGTGATCTTGACTATGGGGTAGTTCCCGACGGAAACCCTGTTGACTAGCAACACAGTTGGGCAATTGAAGAACTACTCAACTGTGAGAAATGTCAACAAGGACCGTACAATTGGTATATCATTTGCCAATTGATCATCCTATTGCTTATTTTTACCTATGATCCACAAATGAAAACATAGAAGCATTTCCTACTCATGATTATTGACTAGTGTATGAGCAAAGTAAATAAAATGGGCACCAGTTAGCTTGTCACTTGTCATAGATCACATAAAAACTGCACAGAAAGTTTTAGTTTGCGAAACAATTGGGAAAACACTGCACAATTTCTATAAACACATTCAATCTTTCTAAACATGATTTTTAAAAGGTTCGTACGTTATTATGGTTTGCCAGTTAATATACTCAATTATAAAAGGATCTGAAACTTCATCAACTCAGTCAAATTACGGACAGTTAACAGCCACTTTATTTTCTTTTCTTAAAACTAGTCAAATGTAAGTTCGAGAGTGTACCGTTTGTGTACACATGCAGCTCAATGAATTAAGGAGTCGACTTCGAAGGGAGAATTCAGGATTCGAACCCATTCTACCTACTTAGACCTGGATAACTAACTAGTACCATGCATCCTAACAATAAGCATGGCCCAGAGCCTAGTTCATAAAAACTTGGAGTGGGTTGCTATGTTAAAAGTATGTACAAAAGAATTGAATGTATTTGAAGTTCGGGTAGGGATTTATTTTTATTGTCACCATCATTTAATAATAATATGCCAAGGAACACAATGACATTCCAATCATAGTCATTTATAAGAATACAATTGCAGTCTAAAAGTACTCTAAAAAGAAAGCTTAGTTACAAGTCGAGACAAATCCAACGCTTGATAATGTCGTGTAACATAAAACTTGACCATACTAACATAAATACTAGTTAGCCTACTGTTATCGTACTCTACTGACTCCATGACTGATAGCTGCAGTTGTGTAAACTTGAAGAACTCACTAGTGATTCAAGTTGTACTTAGTATTGCTTCAAGTAATTCAGTATTCTCCACCTCGGAGGGAGCGCAACACTGATTTACTGTTATTGATTTAACAACTCATTAGTAACTTATATTGCTGGTACGTTTTCTCTGCATTCATGAGCTGTCTATTTACTGTTACGTGATTAGTGGACATAATGAGTCAACCCTATACTTAAGTTGTCATTTTTACCTATTGTTAACCGTAGCTTACATGTTTTGCTGTTAAGCAACCTCAGATGTGAGTTCGCAATTTATATTAATTACTACCAAATACAGAACCCCTTATGGTTATTATGCAAAAAGTCTTCTGACCTTAAGTGACTTTCGGGTGCGTAGATTCAAGTGAAACTAATTAATAAAACGAATTAAAATGAACCACAACATCTTAGGAGTATTCAAATCTTCACTACTAAAACTTGAAAATCGTACTACTCCATGCCTATCCGTATCTTTCCAGTTATATTCTTGTTCAATTTAATGCCCTTCTGCAAATGACTCACGCTTTCTGTGTCGCTGTGAAGTGTAGCAACTGGAATTGATACGCTCCGTGTGAAATCCTAGATTGATATAACTGTCTTCAACACAATAAACTATGAAAAGCCAATTCTTGTCCAAACGTAAAACATTAACTAGCCTCTTTACGTTCGTGAAATAATAAGTGTATGTTTCTGACACAAAGCTTACTATTTTACCAAATAAAGAGTTTATTTTGTGTAATTTAATAGAAACTTCTGCGTAAAATATTGCATGGAGAACCCATTATTCATCACAAGTCTTCAGAATTAAAATTAAAAATAAGTGAACAAGTATCCATTTGAATCTTAAGACGATACCTAATGTGTGAACGCTAACCGATACCAATGGTCACCTAAGTCATGATATGCGGTTATAACTCTGTAATTGAATATTTTAAAGCTTATTATCTAGATCTCCATTGTCTAAAGGATTAATCTAATTTCTTGTCTAAAAGTAATTACATCGTACACAGGATTAGAAAATATCAGATTTTTATCATCAATTAAAAGCCTCTTTCTCTTCTACTTCGATCTGTCAAGCTATGTTATTCATAATCTTATAAATGAATCTATACGCAATTAGTTCCCATTCTTCATGTCCGTTATTACATACTAGAAACAATGATGCATAAGTGCAATGAAATACCTATGCTAGAAAGATACGTAGACAGTATTTTCTTTCGTTCAAATAACCATTTCTACTAATCCACTTGTTACAAACTGTGTTGAAATGGATTTAGTTTACTCATTATCACTTACGCCTAAGATTAATTTCAATGGACTAAAAATTTAATGACATTTCTACCGCCGAATTAACATTTTACCACTTTTTCTACTTAAATAAATGGTGTATATATGGATTTCAACGAGAATACAATCAAGTTAGTAAGTGCCTAAACAGTTTTACATATGCAAATCAAATCAAACATTTACACATTCAGTGTTCAACGACTTTCATTAACATTATTGTTTGTCAAAACAAAAAGTGTGTTCAAGCAGTGTCCATGCTAAATAAAAGGTCACTAAATAATAATGAATCCATGCATCGTTACTTATTCAAGATGCTAGTCAGGTGACGAAAAAAATTATTTTACACAAAGAACACAGTGACAAGTCCATATTTAGTAAAATCCATACATGTATATAAATTATGTTCACGATCGTTACTACGAATGATACAACTTTCGACGGTATGGATTAATAATTTCACTACAAAAGTAAATCTAGTTTCTGATACCAAAAACCAAGTGGAAAGACGTAAAAAACGGTGGGTACCATCAGTAGTACAGCAATGAAAATACTTTCCGAGAGTATATGATATTACTTACAGGCTAAGAAGAAAGTGTAAAAAAGTAGATTGAACTTGCGTTCCTGCAGTCAATAACTAAGGACTTTTGTTGTAAAATGAAAGTTTTCTAATATGACAAATTTGGAAACTAAGTCGACCGTCGACTGTTTGTTTGAGCCATGTAGAGCAATGGAGATTAGCCGGTTGGGGTCCACGGCACAAGAGAAATCAGTGGTTGGAAACTCTAGGTGTCAGTGGCGCAGATGCAAACATACATTATCCTCATTCTAACCGCTATACTTAATCTCATTCTTCCTTATTCCCTTTTACTTCTTTCCACTTCTACTTCCTTTGACCGATTTTTCTTTTCTTCTTCATCTTCTATTTTATTGCCTTGTAACTTGATGTGCTGATATAAAGTGTGGCAACTTGAACCATCACGCAGTAATCCCTGGTCCAATGTTGATCTTGATGACGGTGACAATCAAATTATAGTTAGCTGATGATAAAATGAACTTTCTGCTTAAAAATGAAAGCAGGTTAAAAGGGAATACGTGTCAATACAAAAGTAAAACTCGGTCACTGTGGTGGAGTTTGATTCCAGTTGATTGAGTAAATATATCATATAGTGATACATCTAATAAATCAATGGATATCGAAGAAATCCTTGGCTTTTTTTAAACTGCTGTTTATTAACCATAAGTAAGTTCATGTGATAAACTCCAAGTAATGCTTTCTCTGTAAAATGAATAATGTCACCGTATTCCATGAGTTAGAGTCAGTGAAGTTGGATAGAGCATAAGAACAATGATTGACTATCAAAGAACCATAGCTTTCCTTTAAGTTTATTTCATTCGGCTACAAAAAGACCACGTTGTGATATTGTTAAAATTTTCGTAAACTTGTTGTGAAATGATTTTCTATCAAAAATAGAATGATCAAGGTATGACTTGGCATAATTATATATCAGTCCAAATTGCTGTACTTTATATCGGCACATTAAGAGTGAGTCAATAAAAGGAAAAGGCATGAAAAGGAAGGGAATACCAGTAATCGTAAAGAACTAAGAGGTTAATGGTAAGACAATAAAAATAACGAAAAGATTTCTTCGTTGAAGAAAGACACGGATACATATGTGCATTTGCGATCCATCTCTGATCACACCCATGATTTCATATCTCTTTAACTAAGAAGCGTATACTTACTAAGACCAATAGATGCCTTGTGGATTACCACCACATTTTGGTCTAGTCATCATTGGCATTATTCCAAAATAATCATATTCCAGCTAAAAGTGTATATCGGTGTAGATAGTAGGCTGACATGCTTAACACATCAAGGTGGACAAACTAATCACCTTTTTGCAACTCATACCTAATACTCAACGTTTTACCTGTTCACTGCTTATATGGTGGTTTCATTGCTCAAGAGTCACAGCATACTGTTGCATAGTGCACTTAGATCTCGATCGACTCAGATGCACAAAATGGCATGATTTTGCAAAAGCGACCAAGACTTCCGTATTCATGTCAAACTTTCATCAGCCAGCGACTGACTTAAGCTGGTACCACTCCTCGAGTAAGAGAGGTGGAAAACCCACTTAACTATTTCATTCCTTACTGTCAGATGACGTAACGATGCGAACAAACTCTGAAGCAACAATGTACATCTAAGATATGAGAAACAGCTCCAAAATACTAAGTGATCATTAAACTCTGCATTTTGTCAGCGTCTTCGAATAACTACGTCATCAGAGCTTTTTGAATCGATTAAAGAATCCCCTGCGAAGATATTGATACCTGCAAAGTCAGATGTGAATGAGATTTCTATAAACACATTATGACAAAAGAGAGGAAATTCAATAAAGGTGAAAAAAATAAAATCACGAACGGGTATCACTCGATATGGACATCTTACAAAATAATTAATTGTATATTCTGAAATGACAATGAGTATTCAACAATATAGCGTTGAATGAAGAGCTGTACTTGTCAGCTAACTCTTTCAATGAGAGACAGTAGCATAAAACCTTTAAATCATAATCGAACACCTCCTTGAGATAAAGAAATGTGAACTGTATTGGGTACCGGTGACTGTGATTCTACTCCATGATCTAGGAGAGGATGAAGACCTAGTCAATACACCAACGACCTTACTTGAAACCTGCTTATTTCCCTAAAATCCACTCTTATTTGAATACGTCTCAATTAATAATAGAACCTAAATTCTTGGAAACTATTTTTGTTAGTAATCGTCATAAAAGGTTATCTCTTTTTTCTTATAAACTGGGATGATCAGATGTACAGAATAATCCGGACAGATAATGTTTGACTTTAACATCTTGACTAATACATCGATTAATGAAAAAGTAGACACAGTCAAATTTATTATGACTTAAGAAATTCAAGCAACATAAAACTAACAAGATGAATAAAAGGCTAAAGTAGACTTGAGTATGCAAAAAAGATTGGGATAGAATTTTTAAAAAAGGGAGTGACATTTTACAAAAGAGTTTAGCACATAGATCAGTGCTGCTAAAGCCGATTTAAAAATATGTCAGCTTAAGTATCACGACATAATCATTTTCTGTACAACTGTAATTTGATTATTAGTTAACCTAGTGAAAATATGGTAGCTAATAAAATAAGTAACTTACCCATGACCATAAGGTGATATGAAATAGAGGCAACAGTGAACACGATGATCATGAATATTTTTACGATTCAGACCACATTCATCTTTGAAGTATTGTTCAAAAGTGCTATCTATGTAATCTTCTATTGGTTTCCAGCTAGGTGAGAAAAATAATAAAACGTAAAAAATACAGACACTAACCTTTTCTCTACAGCATATTACTGATAAAGTAGAAATTATACTACACAATACTAAAATTAGTGCAATGCAATACAATACTGCGAAATCATGCACTTTTGCGCACTAAGATGCTAATCTTACTTCATGCCATAAGGGCTACGGATAATAACCCAAAATCCGATATAGGTTTAAACTTGTCACCCTACTTACTTGAGTACTCAATATTTAGATCAATAAATACGATTTTATAGACACATAACCCTCTATTCTTCAATTCTAACTAACGATTATTTGATTTCGAAATGATTTACATAGTGAATCGGCGTCACCAAGAGAACCAATATAAGCTGTGGGACTTTAGATAGCCGTTTCATCTTATTCTAGGACTCGTTATAATTGTATTGGCTATTCCACACGGAAGCGAAACCGGGACTTTCAGGTCTCACAACCAGTAGGCTGCCATCTAGCCACTCAGTGTAGATTGCCATGAGACTTCACACTAGAATGAAAAAACTATCTAAAATCTCTTAGTTTCCAGTGCTTCTCCATCTGATATCAGTTCGTGATAAGAACTGCCTCCGAATCAAGTGATTCATCATCAAATACTCAAATTAGTTATTTAGGGAGGAATGTAATGCGATGCGACATTATAATTAGTTATGAATTTTTATAAACAGAAGGAAACCTCAGATCTAGGTTTGATAATTTTTAGCACCCAATAACGAGATATATGTGAAAACTTGAGCTTAGTTTACAATAAAAGTCAAGTCTGTTGATTTCACGTTGGTATTCATCACGGGTTGGCATCAGTTAGAGAACCATTGGAAGCCTAGGAGCACAAGACAGCTGTTTCGTCTTGGTGAGACTCCTCGGCAGTAGGCACTCTTAACCTCGCCGGGGGTCGAACCCGGGCCCCTTAGGTTCGTAAACCAGCACGTCACCGCTGGACCACTCGGTTGGGATCCAACACAACATGATGACCGCGGAACCCGAAAGTCCTGGGTCCGACCCCTGGCGAGGTCGAGTGCGCACTGCTGAGTCCCATACTACGGCGAAACGGCTGTTCAGTGCTCCTAGATTTCCAGCGGTTCTTCAACTCATGTCAGTCCGTGATGAACACCAACTTGAAATCAATCAATAAATCACCGCAGTCCCCCAAACTTAAAAAGTCGGATATGTTCGAATTTAGTATTAGTAATGTTAACACAGTTCTTTAGAGCCACAAGAATGTCACCACAACTTAAATCAATATGTAAGGTATACATACAGATGTGAATATTTGTGACTGTAGTAAGATTTGGAAGAATGTGTGCATTTGGTTATCTATGAACAGTTCACTTGGTCGTATGAAAGTGACTTAAAGTATAGTAAACCTAATTATCAATAGACACAATTTTGCAGTATGGTAAAACATTCTAAGAAATACATATTCTAAACTTACCAGTCAGTGCAATTTACGGCATCTCCAAAGCCTGGAGTGTCCACAACTGTAAGACGCAATTTTACGCCACGCTCGTCTAATTCAATCTGACGCTTTTCAATTTGAGTTGTGCTTTGAATACGCTTATTTGCCTCAATAACTTCTCGATCCTTGTATAAATCTTGGACGAACAAACTGTTAATCAGCGTTGATTTGCCCAGACCACTTTCACCTGAAAATGCATGATGTTTAGTAAGTAATCAAAATATTTTACTATATTATGCACCAGTCACAAAATAGGCGTAACCGTCTTTGAAAGTGTCGTGGATAAGCAGGATGACGGAGAGGACAACGAACGATGCGGCTAAAGCACACATTTTCACAGACACGTAAAACTTTAGTCAGAAAATTCTTTTCCTACCTCTCAGGACCTTCATATGAGTTCCCCTCAACTGAACATAAAGGAGGGATGACGTAGAAAATGATGTACTTAATTCAATAAATGGGGTTCCATGAATTCAGTAGTGAAACTGACAGTAAACGGATAAAATAAATCTACTGACGGCTTTTGTTCATATTTAGCAATTGCACAGCACGGAAGACATCAATGTTAAACAAAATGATTGACTACTGTTGAATATTCTTACACTCTATGACTGACAAATAGATAATGACACCTATAGGTCAGAAGAACTCCATTAATAATTAAATCATTTAAAATACAAATCAAATGCCATTTATTAGCAGTATAAAGCTTTATGAATCAGGTTATCAGCCACGCGTATCACTTAGCACACTGGAACCGAAGTGGGTAAAAACATGTTTCCATTTAATAGCTACTAATTCGATGACAAGTAATGATGATGATAAGTAATTAGGAGCTGAACATGCTAATTCATATTATTCTCCACAACAAAGTTAGAGGTAGACATAAGGCATAACACGAATTCCACCTCTGACAGACAACAGCTACAGATGTAACTTTAGCTTTCCTGCAACCGTGAATCAGAAACCTAACTGACAATAAAGAAGTTTGGACTAATTTCAAGCTACATGATAGGGCTATCAATGCTCCAATGATATACATACATGATATAAATACTGGGGTGTTTAAGTTATTTCACAATTAAATCTAGTTTAATGGTATATTACAGTATTGATCGCTAACTGATTTCTTCCTTCTTTATTCTCGTGTTGAAAATAATAGAATCTCGTACGAACAGCAAAAATATGCCAAGTCCTTCTACTTTAATGCACTAGAAATAGGAGGACTGAATCAGTTACTTATCATTAAGTTTGCACCACATATATTCATTAAAAAACTCGTAAAACTACTGCGATATCGTTTAAAATTAAAGGGACTACGTAAGCTAGTATTAATTACACAAACTAGAAGAAAACACTAAATAACTTGCAAGAACGGTGAACATGAATAAATTCTATCATATAACTAAGAAATCTATAGCAACTAAATAGAGCATAACACTACCTAAAGATACCATTATTGAAGTGACTTACCAACAACCATCAGCGTAAAATTAAACCCTTTTTTAACAGCTTTCCTATGCATCTGTTCAGGCAAATTTGCAAATCCCAACCGTGCATCTTCTTCGATATTCTATTTATAAAGTTACAAGAATAAGTATGAATTATCCGTATAATTGCAGCAAATCAACAGTTTGACAAAGTAATTCAACATATCTTACCAAATCTGAAATTTTCCTACCGGGTGCCAAAATGCACGGTAGGGGGGTTAGTATTCGCATTCGTCTATACGGATTGCGAACACTTAGGATTCGACCTAAATTATTTTTTGAGTGAATAGTCTGTTCCACTTGTGGTATTGAATCAGGATGTACAGGCACCTGGCTGCGTATCTCCAGTTCAGCCATTTCTAAAGCAGATATATAACAATGAACAACACCTAAGAGCGTCAAACATAACTAAAAGTATACCTGGATCAACAGATATTGGGTCGTGATTCTGAATAACTTCACAGCGATCACAAAGTAAGGATTCCAGTTGTTTTCGATTACGAATTACTTCAGAAACAATACTTTCCTCACGTTCAGATATGGTGAAAGATGCTAAACCACAGCTGTCGTTTAATTCAGGATCATTCAATAAACGACTTGAATTTAGTGAAGAAGTACTGGAAGTATGAGATGTTTTTTGACTGGAAGACTTAAAAGCCCATTTTTGAACTGTATCAAAAATACGATGAGGCAACTTATTTCTTTTATGTGACTGATTAGTTAATGTTGATGCTCTTGATTTAACACTTGACAATGAAACAAATGAACTGCTGTCGGTTGGTTGTCGAAACATGAGAAAAGTAGTAGAAATAAATCTGAATACTTGATGTGCAACAACATGAATAATCTAATCTCATTAATATTCACAACAAGTCTGTAACTGCACAATTATTGGTTACAACACCTAAAAGAGTGTTTCATGACATACCTATGTACTACACATACAGAATGAAGAAGTAAGTGGTGACGTATTGTGTGCAGTTATCCAGTGAAGTATACTGTTATAAAGACCAAGTCCTCTACGGTAGCATTACACTGGAGGTTAAAGCGCTGTTCACGAAAATGATTTACTTGGGCATTCAAAGCATATTATTACGAATGAAATTCGATCACACTGGAAATTTCTGGGACCTTTGTTACTGCCTGATACTGAATAAAAAAGCTAGAGAACGTACTGTTTGACTCATTTAAAAAGTACTCTGATACTTCAACGTCGAAATAAAACTCAAGTGGGATTTAATATTTATAACAAGTGATTCAAAAAAAGGTCGTCAGAAATGGAAAACAATAAAGCGAATAGGAAACAACAGTACTCAGTAGTCTGTTAGTACATGAGACACAAGTGCAACAGCAATTTGTCTTGAGGCTAGAATGAATATGTCTTAAAAGTACAGTGTTAGGCAACATCGTTTAAACTTAATAGTGTGATGTCGTCATTCATTATTTGGGCTTATTAGTATCACTAACGTAAGTCAACACGACAAATGTTTATTTACTACGCGACGAGCCACATTTATTATCTGATGGTTTGTGACATGGTTTGGTTACCAAAGCTGGATTAGTTAGAGTAGTCTGAAACTGAGACCTACTGTTTAAAAGAGAAGTAATCAAGCTAATGGGTTAAATCTCGACTATTAAAATACCGACCAACTTATGATTCTGGTTTAATTTACTCTCTGTTTTTCTCTCCTTTATTTAATTTCTTGCTGGAATTTCCAATCTCCTGCGAACTTTGTGGAAGTAAGCAATCACTGGAACTGAAACAAAAGTACTTCACATTGTACCCTTATTCAGTATATGAAAGTGATGAAACACATAAAAGTATGACAAACAATAGACCACCGATGAAATTCACGTTCCTTTCAACCTAAACCTATTCCAAGCAAACATGCTGAACTGAAATATATTACTCACGCGATAAGTGGTTTCAAGCATATCTACAGTTAGATACTACATTCCATACCAATATCATTTACGAAAGTCTGTGAAGAGATCCTGGCTGATCTACAGCAGTTTTTCCTCAAATTGCCATGAGTTCATGTCATGCCTACCCTAAACTACCTCATAATTCGATTGAATGAAAGATACTCCAGACAATTTGTAGTCGCTTTCCAACTTGGTTTTGGCAATTGCATCACAATGCAAGCAGTTGTTCTTCTTCTGCCATGTGCCAACTCACTCTTTCGTCCAAAGTAGACGATTGCATATGTCTAGGCTTCCAATGTTGGTCAGGAATTACTGCGTTTGAAGCAATTAAGTTGTTGACACCCAGCAACCACTCAGTTTGCACAGCTCCAACTGCAGTAATCAAGAAGGTTAATGATTGCTCAAGTGTTACTACTGACCTTGTTTCTTCCCTGAAACACCACCATTACAACACCATACCTACTCCACATGATTTACTCACCACTCGAAGTGGTAACTGATCCTTTCCGAAATCACACCTTCTTGATGTTTGTCTTCAAGATTGAGCAGCACCAGGAAATCAAGAACTATTATATTAACCAACAGAACACATCGTGAAATGTTTTGATGCATTTGACTGGCGTTAAGTTCTAAAAGACTGGTCCAGCAATTTTCTACCCCTTCGACAACTGCTACCTTGACGTGATGGTCGAGTTTGCATATCACAATGATCCAACAAGCAACATCGGTGTAAGGCTTATTCGAGGTTCCACTATGCGAGAAAGGTCTGTTTACTAGTGATAAAACGAAGAGCAAAACTGCTAATTGCTGCACTCTGATCGGCGTCTGAAGGAAAAGTCATACTGCAGCTAGCTGGTTGAGGTATGATAGCAGTAAGGTGTTCTCCTTGGATGACCACCGATGCCACGCTGATGCTGCCTTCCTCACAGGAAGGTGGGGCTTATAAAACATTGACCTAAAAATAGTACACCTCTCCCTGCCCCACGGTCTTCCGGTGTCGGTGGTATGGGTCTTCTCTCCCAGGTGTTAGAACAACCAAATCTCAAAACAACAACCCTCAAAAGCCTGTATGTGACAGGCGTCAAACAGATGTTTCACGAACTCTGTGGTCACACAAATCATTTTCTCCTTCAGTCTTTTAGAAAACAAAGCATTCTTGTTTCCACCACTGGAACATGAGGCAGCGTTTTGTCAGTAAAACAGGTGTTGAGTTCAAAATCACTACTGACACATCACAAACCAAATTTGCTTCTGGTGATCACAGCACATGCTTCAGCTTGCCCAGTTGGCACAGTGACTTCCTTGATGAAACTCAGTGGCACTGACACCTTCAGAGAAGAGAGAGAGAGTAGTAAGTCAAGAGAAAGGTGCCAGCTTTAATTTCCTCAATGTCGTGTTTCCATAACATGCTTCATATTCGCCATTTCGCCTTGGCAGTAAATCACAAACAGCCACTTCTGATTTTCAGCCCAGAATCTATAATTCCTGCATACACAACTAATCAGTCACAAATTTCAGTAATCACCTTGCTAGTATATGACTTGAAAATATGATGCAGTGAACTAGTCATTTCAGACAAGTCGATGTACTTTACTATTCAATCAATCAGTGGCTGACACCTCAAGTGAAGTTGTGGTTCTCTTAAGGTCACCGTCAAAAGCTATAATGTCCGTCTCATGGATAATTCCGATTGAGCTCTATGAGTAATGATAATTGACATTCAGTATGTTATGTCAAGTGATTTAGCTTAATGACATGCTGAAATAGTTAGCCTTCATCCACTGATACATTCAAAATTGTTGTCTTAGTGATTCATATTAATATCATAGACAAGAATTTGCAATTCTTTGATATCAACTCCTCACTTATCAACATGTCCCTAACTAAACCAAGACCATTGACATTCTTCCCAACCATTCATATCCTAGTAATTTTTCTTTCTCTACCAATGCGACTTATTTGGAAGATCTGGTATTATTGTGCACTGTACCGATGAGGCCGACTTCACACTTGAAGGGGAACATTTTCGACTAACAGATGGTGTTGCGATGGGAAGTCCACCAAGACCATTCCGAGGAGTGATATTTACACGTCATATATTAAATTTTTGGCTAACGACCTCATTAGTAGAGAGAGCTACTCTTCATAAGAGATATGTTGATGATGTAATCACGATGTGACAAGCATGAAGATGTGACATTTATACTAGACAAGACAATATATCCTTAACGTGTGAGGAAGAGAAAGATAGCCGTTGACGTTCTTCGATATACTCTTGGGTCGTGGGAAATACAGATTAATAAAACGGTTGATTTACAGGAAACCTACTTGGACAGGGCAATATACAATTGTCTGTAGCTTTTGTTCGAATCAGTATAAGTGAGGCTTCGATAAGGTGTTTATCTGACAGGCTCCAGTGTATTTGTACGCAAGACTCATTAGACGATGATAACAAAATACTGACTGCAACATTAATGCAAATGGATAGTCACTGAAGTTCACAAACCGTTGCAGACATCAGTGAGTGTCGAAACCCAATCTGTATTCCACTCCAAAGAAATGCGTTGATATCAACCTATCATACAGAGGGGAATCGTATAAAGTAATTTTGAAACCAAGGCTAATGCTTGCCATCAGCAAGGTCGCAGGATCGATATTAAAACATCCTTCATAATATCTTACAGAAACTGTCAGGGGCGTATACTTAGATTTGTCGAAGTGCTAGCTATATGCAAACTCAAGCCCCCGCGCATCCAAAAACAGTTTTTCCTTACGCTTAACCTATTCTGTAATGTAACGTTATCCTATTATCAAGGTTGCTTTAAAATTGTGATTTTTATTCACTACCTTTCCTGTTATTAAATCCCTTAGTGTCATATTTGTCCTTCTCTCATTTCCACTTCTTACACGAAACACTGTGACAAATAAGTGAGTTACGAGACTTTCCGAAATATATGGTGCAAATATGTCAAACTTTTCAGATAAACTATTTCCTATTACGGTATCTAAATGCATATAAGAGACTAATCGCTTTAAATTCCAAGAAAGTCTGGACCTGACCTGCAATCTGGAAGACATTCAGAGGTGGTACAAAACTTCCAGAAACGTTACTATCAGCACGATTTGATGAAAACCTCCGTCTAACAATATTATCAGGTTAGTGATGCCAAATAAAGAGTTGTTTCCAAGTAGACTAAAAAAGAGTGCACTAGTGATGCTTTTTCCGAAGAAACGAAATCCTAAATAGAGACGTACATCTTCATTAATCAACTACATTTTTGAAGCTACTTTATTTATTTAATCCAACTTTGAACTGTTTCCGGGTATACATTTACGCCTTTACTTCATTTTCACTACTCTTTTATTATTCTTGTCCATACAAACTGTTTCCAGTGAACGCTTTTCACACTAGGTGCATTCTGAAAGAGCCAAATGAAAAGCGCTTGGTTGCTCATTTTATGATAATCAGTGTTCCTGTTTTATCAAGTAACAAATATCACCCTCATTGTTAAGCCTTGACTTGGCATGCATACACGTGCCTAACGCAGACAAATACTAAGCATCACAAACAGGTGACATGTGACCTCTATCCATGATACTTTACTTGGTTGAGTAGGAGAGGAATCCAGAACGCACATTTCTTCCTATTTGGGTCTCGGTTGTGTGTATCAGGACCCCAGTGAGAGATGTTGTCCCCACTGAGACTCGAACCTCGTATCCATCGATTCAAACCCCAAAGGGTCATTCAATAGTCCACTAAGGCACTATAGCCACCTCCTGTACAACGGGTATTATCGTAATAAATGTGCAGGCAATATCACGGCATTGGCATAGGAGCCCATATCCCGACAGAGGTCGAACGATTGGATCCAGTATAACAACGGAGAATCACAAGCATACAACAAATAGTAATACCTGTATCCCTCTTGACTTATATACTTCATCATTCA